GATTTTTCAGCTGTGCTACTCCTGTTCCTTGCCTGCACACTCACTGCACCAGGGGCTGAAAACCAGCCTTGTTTTCCATCAGCAAGCAAGCCAGCAACCCCGATGGAAGCAGGATACTGTACCGGTGACTCTGTGTGGGACAGCTCCAAGAGCATTGCAAGTATCTTAACACTAAGTGGTTTTGGAACTTCGAGATCTTTTTGTCACTAGAACTGAACTGCAGTAAAGGTGCAGCTGCAGCCGATAGATCAGCTGAAGAGACAGGTTGCTTTACAGCGTCACCAGCAAAAGTTTCCTCTGAATCCAGAGTCCCTTCTTTAATGAGGGCTTTACCCAAATAAAATCTTGGGGAGTGTAAACCCTAAACAGTCACTTAAACAAATGAAACAAATTCCTACTTTTGGCTATTCTTCTGCCAAAGCTTGTTTTAAGTTTTTATTTCCATCCTTTCAAAGACCTTTACTGCAAGTAAATAACAGATTGCAGAGCAATGAAAAGTACCGCAATTCCCTCTCCCTAAGTACTTTAGAATTAATTGATTAGCAGGCAAATAAATCATAAAATCATTCTTTCCCCTGGGTCAAACCTAGAAGATAAACTTCGGAGTTCAGGGTAATTCTGAGCAACTTACAAACCTCTGAAAATCCCTGTCGGCTTTACAAGATTATTAAATTCCCATCAGGAACGAAGAGCTGATCCAGTGCTGGGGCTGGCATTTAGCTCCCAGTTCTGCTGCTGCTAGTGGCAGAGGGAGCTGCCAAGGATCGGACCCTCCTGCGCAAATACTGTCCAGCAGGAAAGAGAATATCTTGTTGGGGGTTTTGGTTTGGGATTTTTTGTTCCATTTCTTTCATGTGTGAAATCTCATAAGATATGAAATAACATAAGACAAGCAGTCCGACAGAGTTATATGAAGGACCAGTGGCGTTTCTTTTGCATGTCCATATCACACTGAATTCAGGATGTGAAGGATTGTTGGATCATCTAAGCTGCTCAGCAAGTAAGAGCCTTTATAAACACGAATCCTTTATAAGCACAAATCCTGGAACAGTAAAGATTTTTTGATTTGCTGGAACAGAAACAAATCACATTTTTGCTGGACTACGAAAAGCATTCCAGGAAAGCAAGGACAAAAAGCCAATGGCAAGTTCATTTTTATCTATTAGCGAACTGTGTTGCAATAAGCAAAGCGAAGAGTTTCCAGCCGCGGAATCAGCCACTCATTTGGACTGAAAAAAATGATCTCTAGGATCACAGGCTTCAGCATTCTACTTATGTTCTGTAATGTCACAACAGCTTTCCTAACTAGCATTCAAGTATTTGTTCTCAATATTGGCAATTTCATGAACTGAACCAGGATATGAAAGCCATTAATTGTCTTCAACTAGTGCTTATATGCTAGATCCTTTTTAAATGGCAAGCTCATAGAAAAGATCACCCACCACTGCCCTAATGCTTGTGTATTGGTAAAAACATAAGACTGAAATCTGTCCATTGCCTCGAAGTGTCCAGCTTGGGCACTGGAACCCGTTTTTCATGATTCACACCAAATGCTTTAAGGGCCTAATCCCAACGTCCTTGACAGTACTGAAAGGCTCTCTGCTGATTTTTAATGGGGTTTGGATCAGCTCCTAAACCTCAGCTCCACATCCCAAGGATCTCATCCATCTAGCGCTTTGAAACCAGCGGAGTTTTGTCCTGGCTCCGACAGTGAAACGGACAGGGATGCTTATGGAGTCACGCAGAAAAGTTGCGCTCCAAGAAAGCATCTCCGTTCCCTTCGGCTTCTGCTTCCCGGAGTGCTGAGGCAGGGAAAGGCAGTGAAGCAGCCCCGCCGGTATCCGTCCCGCAGGCAGCTCCCTGTCTGTCTGCACCCGAGAGCCCCGTGGAGGAGTCCTGCGTGGGGAGACTCCGGCGGGGCTGCGGGGGGTGCACCCGGTGCAGGACGCCCCATCGCAGCCCCGGTCCTGCCCCCCCCCCCGCCGGCAGCGCCTCGCACCCGCAATGCCAGTGTCACTAGGGGGGGCTGCGGCTGTGGAAACCCGTTATTAATTAATACTCTCCATCTCCCGCCAAGCCTCCCTCCCCGGGGCCAGCCGCCCTGCGGGAGTCCCCGGGTGCCGGTTCCGAGCTCCCGCTCCGCCGCTGTCCTCCCTTTCTGGGGCCCCGGTGGGTTTCTACAGGGAAAGGTGTGTGTGTGGGGGGGTGGCCCTGGGGCAGCGGTGCCCAGCACCCGGCAGGCAGCGGGCACGGAGATGTCGGGGCAGGAGGCGGCGGACGAGCTCCTGCAAACCCTGAAGGCATACACGGTCCCCCGGAGAGACCCCTTTGTGCCCCACAGCGAAGGGGCGGGCGGGAGAGCCCGGGCGGGGACTGCGAGCTTCTCCCGGCGGCTCTCGGCCCCGGCCCGGTTTGGGGTGAGCGGGTTACGGGCTTTGCAAACTACGCCCTGGGGTCGGGCGGGCGCCTTACCGAGCTAACCTCGGCATCAAAACGACGAGACAAGAGATGCCGCAAACCGCCCGAGAAGGGTGGGTGCCTCTCCCCGCGCGGGTGCTCCGCTCCCCGGACCCTGCCGGGCAGGGAAAGAGCCCAGAAGGTCGCCGGGGGCTGCCGCGTCGGGACCGGGACCGGCCGTCGGGGCCGGGCGCTGCCGCTGCCGGTTCCCCGCCGGCCGCCTGCCAGCCCTTCCACCCCGCTGGACAGGAATGGGGGCTCCTCGGGCCCTCAGACGGCAAAAACGGGTTTAGGCTGATGACAGCTCCCGAGGGTCCCTGCCCGGGGTGAGGGGACGTGAGATGGACCAGACGGAAGCGCACAGCGGTGTGGGGAAGGTGAGAGAACCAAAGCGTCCCCCTGCCCTAAAGTTAGAGCCGCGGACGGTTTGTTTTTATTTACCCCGTTGTTTTAGGGGAAAAAAACAACCCAACCCTGTTAAGGATAAATTAAAACATGACTGAATTTTTTCAACGAAGCCACATTTCTTCATAATGCAAACGGATCTTTACATAACAACTGAAACTCAGGAGAAAAGCTAATTGGATTAAGTCCTCTGAAAGGGAGGTTAAGGTGTCTGAATGAGACAACTGCAAAGCTCCACTTTTCTTGCCATCTGTTTAGCAAGACTGAAGTGTTTTCTGATTAATATTAACTTAATCAATCACGCTGCCATTTCTTATAACCACAATGAATTTAAGGAACGAATAGTACGGAGGCTCAGCCCGAGGATGAGCAATTGTGAAGGCAGGAACACAAAACGCTGTGATAGTTTGGTTTGGTTGGGTTTGATTTTCTTCTTTCCCCGAAGACCCGTTACTCTCGACAACGAGAAGTTGCCAGCAGTGCCCCTAACCGTGTGCCGGCGGTGCCGCTAGGCAGAAAGATAACTTGCTTTAACACCCCGGTGACACCCGCACACGCCCGGACTTGAACACAACGATTCCTTCCCCGCCGAGCGCTTTCTCCCCAGAACAGCCCCCCCTGGGGTTGTCCCGGCAGTAAAAGTGGCCCAAACCCGGCTGGTGTCGCTGGTGGAGGGCGAAGGGCTAAGCCCGCCGAGCAGGGCCGGGCAGCCTCCCTTCCCCTTCCCCTCCGCTCCCCTCCCCTTCTATCTCTTTTTGTGCTTTGGTCCCGCAGCTCCATCCCGGCTCCTATAGTGTTTTTAATCGATATTTGAATTTTACAAAGAGCCCTTGTGGCCGCGCTGGGGCCGAGGGGTGGGAAAGCCCTCGGTGGGTTCGGGGCGGAGGGGAGCGAAGCGGGTCCAACGCCGGGGCCTTCCCGTCCCCACCCGCTCCAGCTACACTATAGGAGCCGGGATGGAGCTGCGGGACCCCGGGGGAGCGCCGGGACGCGGCCCGTCGCGGCCACTGGGGAGGAGCGGGAGGAGCCTGATCTCCTCTCCCAGGGCACCGGAGCCGGGCACGGGGATGGAGGAGACGGGGCAGGCTGGGAACCGTCTCCAGACTCTGCCCTACGAGACCGGCGGGCAAGGAGGGAAGCAGGGAGGGAAGCAGGGAGGCAGGGCAGGAGGAGGGGGTGTTTTCTGGTGCTAATAAAATAAATGAAACCCGCGAAAGTTGTTTCGGCTGCCGCCTGCCCTCCGCTGCGTGCGGGACAGAGCGCGGCGCAAACGGAGCTCCGCAGCCTGAGGGCAACCCGGGCACAGCCAGCGGCAGGGAACCGGAGAGAAGGGGCCGTGCTCTGGGGAGGCCGCCGGCTGACAGCGAGCTGGGCAGACCTAGGCCTGGGCCCTGCCCCGGGAGAGCCGGTGCCCTCCCGTGCCGAGTGCCCCGGGCAGGGCCGGGCCGGGCCGTGCCAGGCGGCCGTCGGGTGGTTGCGGCCCTCGGGGCCAGTGGCCCCGCCGCTGCGCCCGTCCCTGTCGCCTCCAGCCGGGGCTTCTCGCTGGTGGGACTGCAGCAGCCTTTCTCCCGTCCGGTTATCGGACCGGCCAAGTGCTCTTTTTGGGGTGCGGGTGAAGAAACCCTCCCTGCCCTTCCCCAAACTCCCTCCCCTCCAAAGCAGCCCGGCCCCGGTGCTGCCAGTGGAACAAGGCGGCCTCGGGTGCTGGGCTAGCCCCAACCCACGGACAATCGTCCCTAAGGAACCTGGTTTCCTCGCGCCTCTGAAAGGCTGCGCTCAAACCTAAGCGAGCGCCTAGAACTAGAAGCGGCGAGGAAATGAGTTCGCGGGCCGGCAGCCTGTGGAGGAGAAAACGAAAAATACAAGAAAGGGGGAAAACCACCCTTGGCTCCATCGCATCTGCAAGTGCAGCCGCAGGGCTCCGGCCCGGGACGGGGGGAGCTCCCCCTCGGCGGCCCCGCTGCCCCGCACCGCCCGGGCTCGTTCCCCTGCGGGGCTGGTGAGGCCGGCGGCCCCCCCGCCACGGTCAAGTTGAAAAGTCCTCCCTAAGGAGGGAGAGGAGCCCGCTGCCTCGGGGGGGGGGGGGGGGGGGCGCGGAGGGGTGTCACACACAGGGCGAGGGGACGGGCAGGACTTACCTGTGGAGTCCATATCGGGTTCCTCCAGCAACCCGCAATGCATGCTCTTCCCATGGACGGGACGGGAGCCCCAAGGTCCCGGGGTGTGGAGAGCCCCTGTCTCCGAGCTGTGCGGGGAGAGGGAGCAGGGTGGCGGGGAGGAGGGGGGGGGGGGGGAAGGGTAGAGGCAGATAGTTTGGGGGGGGTTGGGGGGTGTAGCGCGGGAGAGAGGACACTCCGTAATCCAGCAGGGCAAAGCCAGACCCGTCAAAATGTTTGCGGATGTTTCATGGGAAAAAGCATCATTTTATAGAAGCCCTGATGGGAGAAATGTCATTGATAGGCCAGCCAGCCTGATGAATGGCTGCTACTCAGATGGGGATGTGGCAAGGCTCAATGTGAAGCCCATTGTGATGCTGTTTTGAATAAGAAAAGCTTTCCTCCAAAAAGGGGGGCCTTAGATCTACGCAATCCCAACACTTCGACTTCCCTCTTCTATTAGAGCATTAGAAACGTTTTTCTTATTTAAAGTTCCAGCGGCCTTTCCACTCCTCCCTTCCCTCCCCCAGCCCCCACCAAGGTCCTCGCCTCATTACAGCCCCACATCAAAATTGGCTTAGATCTTCAAACGGGCAGGAGGAGGTTTGGGGTTGTGCTCTTTGGGGCTGCCGGGTCTGCGTGCATCGCGGCCGAGCTCCCCTCCTCCTCCTTCCATCTCCTCCCGGTGGGCTCTGGGTTGGGATCCTTCGCGGGCACATGGCGTTGGAAGCTGCACAGCTTCCCAAATCATCTGAGTTTACTGGGGAGAAAAAAGAAGGAAAAGGGCGATGTGTGTGGGTAGGGAAAGGGGTGCGTGTGTGTGTGTGTGTGTGTGTGTGAGGGCAAGGAGAAGCTCCCAGTGCCTCGGCGAGCGGTGCTGGCACCGCAGACCAGCAGCAGGGGCTCCGGTGCTTCTCTTCGCGGCCCCGGGGAGCCAGGGCACGGCCTGAGAGCCGGCGGAGAGCGGCTGCCCCAGGGGAGCTGGCGGTGGGGCTGGGGGAGAGCAGGCGGGTGGGGGCCAGGAGAAACGAAGAACCAAACGGGCGCGTTTTCAAACTCGCGTTCCCGTGCAGCTTGAGCCCGAGGATGCGAAGATCCCCTTTCGGGTTAGCACGTTGAGGGGGGAGAAGGACGGGGGGCTGCAAAAAAAGTTGCTTATTCTGCATGCGGTTGTATGTGCTGGAAGTGGAAGTAAAAGTGCAAAGCTAGGGCTCTGATAAAAGTGGCTGGTTTAGGGAAGGAAAAGCTGTGATTAGAATATGAATAGAGCTCCAGGAGAGGAAGAGAAAGGGGGATTATAGCTGAATTACTTTGACCATGGACAGAGCCAACGTTTTCCACTCTTCTCCCCCTCTCGCCTCCCTACACCCAGACAACCCCCCCTTCCCTTTCCCCTTCGGGAGAAAAAAATAAAAGGCAAAAAAAAAGCAGAAAACCCCAACCCCAACCGCCAGCCCCACACAGTTCAACAAGCGGAGAGCTTGCTAAAGAGGACGTCCACCGCCCCGCACCCCGTACGGGCCGGCAGCGGCTGACCCGGCGGCGCTCACCTCGCACCGCGGCCCTGTGGGACGGTGAAACACCCACCCCGCTGCCCTCAACCCCCCCCCTCTGGCCGAGGTCCGGAGTGGGGAGCCCAGGGTGCCTGGAGAGGAGCTGGGGGAGACGGTGTAAAACCGAGTCCGCGGAGGAAAAGCACTTGAGGTGCCCGCTCTGCCGGAGGAGCAAGGCCCAGGGAGCCCTACCCTTCCCTTACCCTCACCCCACCAAAACCCAGCTCCAGGCCAAAGCAAGGCCGGTGCTGTTCCCCACCGCCGCGGCTTTCCCCAGGGGTGAAGCCCCAGCTCTCCCATCCCCTCACCACCCGTGTGCCGCCGGGCGGACCCTGCTCCACACCGGGGGCCCGACAGAGCGGGCGGCTACCGCCGCGCATCCCCTCGACGGCGGGGCCCGCAGCTTCCGCGGGGAGGCCCAGCCCAGCGGGCGGGCACTCGCCAAGGATCCCTGGCGACGGGACGTGCACAGCGGAGAGCAGTGGCAGGTCGGGCCCGGCTGTTCGGAGCGCTGAGTACCTGCAGCGGCAGCCACCGGCTCTCCATCACAGGCACTCCGTGGGAATTGGGTCTTCACCAGCCTGAAGCTTCGGGGAGCTGCTTCCGTGTGGGCGATGCCCGGGGATAAACAAAACGAAAATACAGTATAGGTGAACGTATGGATACTTTCTTTCCAGGGGGTGACAAAGATGGGGATTAGCACAGCCGGGGGTGTCTAGAGGCTGGGCTTTTCTTTGACATGAAGCGAGGATGTATGTTCTCCAAGGATGGTGGTGCATGGACCATCATCAGCACTTCTCTTGGACCACAGGTAACTGCTGCAATCTGTTTGCTCCCTGCCTTCCCAGGTGAGTTCCTGTCCCCACATCCTTGTGGAATATGTCAGTGCTGTTGTCTTCCTGTTCACCTAATTGCCCCGTGGGGTGTCAGATCGCCCTGGTACACTACCATAGCTCGGTCATTATTACTTCTTTGGGGTTTGTATAGCTTTTTTAAAAGCATTCCCTGCTCCTGGACATCCCACATGACACTTAATAAAGTACTTGATTCTTTAGCGGGGCATTTCCTCCTGTGCTGCACTATGGAACATCTCCTCCTGTGCTATAGGTGGGCAGCAGTGGACAGATGGAAGCACTGCAAGTCACAAGCCTTTTTCTACACTCAGACTGCAGGATTTGATTTGATACGGAGTAAAGGGTAGGTCTCTGCAAGGATGCAAAAAGTGTACAACTGGGAACTTCCACTCCAAGTTCTTGCTTACACAGAAAATCTACAAGCCATAAAATAATCAGTATAACCCTACACTGAATCAGATGGTATCTTTTCAGTGGAGAGGGAGTCTGTTGTCATTGTGAAAGGACCAGCACCTTTATTCAGGAAAGAATACAAACTTGTGTGTAAAGAAGAGCAGAGTCATCAAGGCAACAGAAGACACCAGGCATCTAACCTGCTGAACAGGTTGCAAAGGATGCAAAGCTGCCTTTAGGTGACTGAGTTTTTGATGGTTCAGCAAAGCGGAGGCAGAGTGCAAGTATGACAGCTCCTATCAACTTATCCCCCAGATAATTTGAGCTCTTCCAAAACCACATTTCAATGACTGGCTTCCACTCCACAGTAGATTGTGCCAACAGGCTGCGACCACACAAACTCTTCTTGCCATAAAAAGCTCCTTATGCTGGTACTAGACTCTAAACCTCAGTGCTAGACTCTTAACATAACTATTTCAGGGGTAAACACCAAGAAGAGCTTTTCCAACAACTGAAAACTGTTGGCACAAGAACAAAAAAGCACAAACTGTTCTCTATTAATTTAGAACCTCAGGCTGAAGCTCTCTAGAGAAGTTTCCCATAGACTATCAGAGACAAGAACCTGCACGAGTTTTAGGAATGAGTGTGAATGGTGTGTGGAAGGGGCTGTGTAAAACTTGTCCGCAATACCAAGGATCTGAGTTCAGTGACTCAGGGGATGCTTTCGGACCCGATGCGTCCCTGTGCAGACTGCAGGATTGCTGGCAGCAGCCAGACACACAGTGACACTTCATCATTTTAGCAGTGGCTGCAGCCTGTGAGCAGTTCCATACTTCTGCGCTTGGCTGAGCCACCAGCCTCCTCCTCTCAGAACGAGCCCATGCTTCTCTTTACCCTCCTTCCCAGGTCCATTCCGCTGCCTCTGCTGTCTACTGGGCAGATCCCATGGAAGAGAAAGAGAAGGCTCTTGTGTCTGCATTGGCTTCCCTTTCTGCTTACTCATCTTTATTATCAGAACAGGAAATGTTAACTTTCTCTTACATTTATTAGCACCCCTGAGGAAGCTATAGGTGGAGGACAGGATATGGAGCAAGCTGACAGATAACTTCTGGCATCAAGTCTGTGTATGTGCTTGAGGAACATGATGCTGACAGATGCAGGAACTGGAAGAGGAACATCAAAAGGCTGCTTAGGTAAACATGTGCACGGTTCCTTCAAAAGGCTTTAATTGACACAAGCACTGAGAGAAAGTGGCTCGGGCAGGCACATATGCAGGTATCTGGGAGAAAAAGGAGCACTGGAACTGAGGCATGCAAATGATGGATTGCACATGCACCGGGCAGGGGGGAACTTTTTAGTTTGAAAGAGAAGCAACACAAATTGTAGCTGGCTTGCTGTGACTGTAGACGCGTCTGAAGCCGTTCTGTGGAAGATGAGCATGGGTCAGCCTTGAATGATCTTCTCTTATTAGTGCTTGTGAAAGGAATTCTGCTCAGCTCCAGTTCTCAGGTTCATGGAGAAGTGCAGTGTCAGCGCTGCCCAAGGGGATCAGTGAAAGCATCCTGTTCACAATGGTCAGCTTCAGTCTGCAGGGAGGAAGGGAACTGACTCTTCTGGGTGGTATCAGTGTCCACAGGAGACTAGAAGAACCTCTGCTGCCCAAGCTTGGCTTGGGAGACCCTTGCTGACTTGAGTAAGAGAAAAGGGCAGGCAGTCACTGATTTCTGAGCTCACACCAGATTTAGCTGGCTTTTGTTGTGTGTGGCTGGTACTAGTTACTAGAGGATTTGTACTCTGTGTTGGAAGAAGAGCCAGCCTTAAAAGCTATTATAGACAACAGACACAGAAAAGATCCGTTCCAGACTGCGTCTAAGCTGCTGAACAACTGGATGTGAGGCTGTCATATCCTTTTAGATGACCGACTGATTATGAGTTTCTTTTGATCTGCCTGCAGCACAGAGAATTACCTTCAGTACCTGCATTTGACTCACAGGGTGAGACCTGAATGAAGAGTTTACGTTTTCAATTCACTAGGAGTTCAAGGGAAAACCATTTCCATTATTAGAACGTAATTTTAGCAAGAAATTAGAACTTCACTGTTCATCACACTTTTCTTAGTTTTTGAGTTATTTTTTCTGTTGATAATATTTTTCTGCTAAGTCTGAATGGACAATAACTACTGTGCACCGTCTGCAATGGTAAAGCATAGGCATAGGTCAGGTAGCTCCCCAAAACTCATGCTAATGAAAGACAAAAGGCTCTGCTGCAGTTACCAGCAAGGAATTGCTTTTGATTTGGAACTAACATGCTGTTTATATACTGACTGGGAGAAGGGGACAAAGACACACACAATGAATCTATTGGAAAAGATCCGCGGCCATTGGCACCACCTCAGAGGTACCTGCTTCAGGAAATATACAAATAAATGGGTAACTGCAATTAGGAGAAATAGTTTTTGGTTTGGTTTGGTGTTCTTCCCCAGCAGCAGGATGCAAAGAGCAATGGGCTGCTCGCAAGCTTGGGATGATTTTTTTGGGGAGGTGGAACAAAGTCTCAACTCCATTCACAGGGCAGCCCACAGAAATCTGTGCTGTTACTTTGGGACAGGAATAAAGCCATACAAACTGCTCTTTAAATATTCCAACTTCAAAAATCTCTGTGTTGGCTCTGACCTGGGTTTGGAGAGTTTTACTGAGGGTTCTGGTGTTCTGGGACATATGTTCA